GCGACACAGGCATCTATGATAAGTTACTTTGTTAAATGGAGGGGTGAATAAATGGATACATTCACATTAAAACAAACTTGATTTCAACCCCTTCGGAATATGTGGCGTAGCGTAAGTGGGATAAATAATAATTACCTAGGGTTTCAGTTCAGTGTAAGCAATCAATATGAGTAATTTAGACCACAAAATTGGTTTTATTTTGCTCTATTCAGATTGAGCTATACAGCCTCAGCGACTATTGAACAATCACAGGCAAATTTTCTCACGGGGTCTGTGCTGTGTGGACACATGTTTATGTCTACACGGTTGCAAGCTGCCTAGCTCTGGATATGGGATCCTGTTCACGCCGAATGTCAGGACAAACATTCTATCCCATCATGATGTTCCATTTAACATGATGTTCCTCGGTACATACAGCCACACCTGAACTTTCCCTCTATGTCTCCCTCTAGCTGAAGGCCCAATTCTGCCCCCACACACACACACACACACACACACACACACACACACACACACACACACACCGAGAGCAAGTGGCTTCTGTCCTTGGATCAGAGTTTACTAGAATGTTTCCCACTTGTTAGCATTCCAGTCTCTGATGACCTTTTCAGTGGGATCTTGCCTTCCCAGCTCTCTAAGACCTGCCAGATGCTTCTGGTCAGACTGACCTTTAAGATAAGCCTGTTCCTTCAAGTTTTCTCTGGACTTAATTAGTTGGCAGCCTGATCAACAGAGCGTCCTCCTGCCCAGCCCTGCCCTGATGGCTCGAGAAAGGGCACACCCATACCCACACATCCATTATTTTTATTGTTGTTGCTAATCCTCACCTGAGGATATTTTCTCCATTGATTTTAGAGAAAGTGAAGGGAGGGAGGGATAAGGGGGGGGTGAGAGAAAGAGAGAGAGAGAGAGAGTGAGAGAGAGAGAGAGAGAGAGACATTGATACATCGATGTGAGAGATTGGAGATTGGTTGCCTCCTGCACATGCCCCAACTGGGGCTGGGGTTCAAACCTGCAGTCCAGGTACATGCCCTTGATCGGGAATCAAACCTGTGACCCTTCAGTGCCCAGGGTCAACACTCTAACCATGGAGCACACCGGCCAGGGCCACACATCCATTATTAAATACTTCAGTCTTAAACAAGAATGTGCAACCCAATGATATGCATGAAATTGGTAGAACAAACACTACTTAACTTGGATTCTGGACCCAGCTGAACACACAATTAACTGTGATCTGAGACAAGTGCCCTCACATTCTGGGCTACATGGGACTGGACCAAAGGTCCCCTTCTTGTTCTAATTATCGATTTACTGGCCATGTTGTAATATGCTTTCACCTTTGCCTGGTAGAATAAGCTTTAATTATTCAAAACATAGCACCAGGTCTGACATACACAATACATCAAGTTTATGTAATGAAGGAAGGAAGGGTTTTTCTATACTAAAGTCTAGATCAGTGATGGCGAACCTTTTGAGCTCGGCATGTCAGCATTTTGAAAAACCCTAACTTAACTCTGGTGCCGTGTCAGATATAGAAATTTTTTGATATTTGAAACCATAGTAATACAAAGACTTATATTTTTGATATTTATTTTATATATTTAAATGCCATTTAACAAAGAAAAATCAACCAAAAAAATGAGTTCTCGTGTCACCTCTGACACGCTTGTCATAGGTTCGCAATCACTGGTCTAGATGAATCATTTAGCTGGGTCTGCACAACACACACTCAAAATGTTCACACGGCTGCATGGACCATTCATGCTGTTATAGTTCACTAATCAAATAAAACTGAGTGCACGCTACTTTCTCTCTTCACTGGGCAAGGTAGCAGATAGAGGATCCTGTGCCCATTTTGGACTGAGTTTTGGCTCCCAGAGCCGCTGAATCCATAAAAGCACCAGTAATAGTAATCACTGTCTCTGAAGACTCAGGGCATTTAAGGGGAAGGAACGCTGTGAGCAGAAAAGGAAGTGACATAAGTAGGTCTTTACTTAAATCGCATCCAAGTATATTTTGCAAGAGAAGGCTGAAATGACAATCATGCTACTTTGGGATTCAGCAGAACCTATCTGACCAATATGAACCACTGCCCCAGATCATGCTACCCGTGCTGCTATCTTGGCAGTCCCTGCAAGGGGCTCATGCAGTGCTGAGCTGTCCACAAGCAGGTTCTGGTCCCTGAGTGCAGCAACTCTCAGGGATGCATGTTTTCCTGTAGCAGATTTTGGAAAACAATGTTGGGTCATTCGTAACACAGCCACACGCTTCTGTGTAGCCCTCCGACACTGCTTGCCTACCTCCAAAAGACACAAATCGAGAAAGAGAACACAGTTCTTTTCCACTTGCCTAAAGAACAGCCATTCCTGCCAGTAGATTAAAGGCTGGGGCTTGGAACAATTTGCCAAAACACTGACTTGATTTTTTGTGCAGAAAGCTTGAGAGAAGCTTTTGAAGCTATGGCTGGGCAGTGAATGAAGAAATTAATGGGAGCTTATCAAAGCCAAGACAGCAGGTCCCAGGAATGGAGCCCGGTCTGTATGAACTCACAGCCCATTGGGAAAGAGGATCCTGCTAACCTTTTCCTTTGTCACTGGGAGAGAAATGCGGTGGCCTCCCAATATGTGCACAGGTGTGTGTCTAGGGTGGAGGAGAGCAAAAGGTGTGTTTACAAAAGGCGGAGCACAAATCAATAATGAGCTATGAACACATGATGTCATCCTTCAGGACGAAGCATCCTCAGTACTTTTAAAGCACTTAAATAAACACTCTAGTTGCTATAGCAACTTGATGCAGCTCTTTAAAGGGGATTTTTTTGAGGGGGTCATTTTATATCTTCAATCTCCATAACAACATGATATGGCTTTTTGAGGGTATTTTTTATCCAATTTGTGCATTGGAATTGGGCCATATTTGCCTTTTTTAGCTTAAAATAATCAGATCAAGCATGACACATGAAAAATCATTGAAGGAAAGGAAGCCTTTTAGTAAACGATACATACACACTGAGCGAGACATCTCCAGCTGCTCACATCCTGCGCATGGATGCCGTCTTTCTGCCTCCCAGCAGCCATCGGTGATGGCTTACGCTGGTCAGTTAGTCCGTGCCCCCCAGTCTAGGCTGGCATACCAAGCCAGACCAGAACCCACCCATGGAAGGCGTGTCTATGAAATCCCTCAGTTCTCAGCCCAGTGAATCCAGCCCCCTCCTCCAAAACTACTAGAGGCCCAAGCAGCCCAGTGCCTTCTCCCACTCTGGGACTCCAAGCAGGATTGGACACACACACAATTTTGCCAAAATGAAAGCTTGTGTTTACTCTGCACCCTGTACAGTAACTGGGAAGGAGGTCTGTTTCATGTGACACCCAGGGGCCAGGGACATGGGGGAAATGGGGAAAGTGGATGAAAGGAGAAGAGAGGGTGGGGTGGAATGGGGAGCAGTGGTGGCTCCTGGATCTCTACAGAAGAAGCTCAAAGGAGGGGGGAGTGGGAAAAGTAGGGGGCCTCAAAGAGTACTTACAAAACATTTTTTGTAAGGTGGTGAAACCATGAGCTGTTAATACCAAAAAGAAAGAAGGAGCTTGGCCAGCATGGCTCAGTGGTTGAGCATCAACCTATGAACCAGGAGGTCTCAGTTTGATTCCCGGTCAGGGCACATGCCAGGGTTGCAGGCTTGATCCCCAGTGTGGGGCATGCAGGAGACAGCCAATCAATGATTCTCTCTCATCATTGATGTTTCTATCTCTCTCTCCCTCTCTGAAATCAATAAAAATATTTTTTTAAAAAAAGAGAGAGAGAAGGGATGATGGCACTCTCTGAAATACTACCCCCCCCTCCCCACCCCGCCCAAGTTACCCCTTGGTGCTGCTATTGGTTGGAAAAAGTGTCAAGGTAGCAAAGAAGAGAAGTCGACAAATTGGAGGGAAAGTTGGGGGTGGGGCGTGCAGAGGAGGGAGAGAAAACCAAGGGTGGCCCGGAACAAGAGGAGGTGAAGTCTGGCCTCCAAGTCACCCAGCTTTTCTGTGAGGAGGGGGCAGTGTGGACTCTAGGAAAAGCAGGTGGGGAGGGGATCTAGGAAAGGGATTCTGGGGAGAGTGGTCGCATTGCTCAGATAAAAGGGCTAGAGCAGTGGTTCTCAACCTTCCTAATGCCGTGACCCTTTAATACAGTTCTCATGTTGTGGTGACCCCCAACCATAAAATTATTTTCGTTGCTACTTCATTACTGTAATTTTGCTACTGTTATGAATCGTAATGTAAATATCTGATATGCAGGATGTATTTTCATTGTTACAAATTGAACATAATTAAAGCATAGTGATTAATCACAAAAACAATATGTAATTATATATATGTTTTCCGATGGTCTTAGGCGACCCCTGTGAAAGGGTCGTTCGACCCCCAAAGAGGTCACGACTCACAGGTTGGCGACCAACAGGTTGAGAACCGCTGGGCTAGAGGCTGCTGAGGGGAGAACGCGTGGAAAAAGGGAGAGAGGAGAGTAAAACGCTGAGTGGAGAGAAGGGGCTTTCCAAATTATTTATATGAAGAAACTGAGGCGGCAGGAAGGGGTGCGGGGGGCGGGGTGGTGGTGGTGAGAAATAGAAAGGAAGCAGAAGGCCCATGTGCTCACGGGTCCTTTATAGAGGAAAAACAAGTCGCACAGAGGTTCAGGCATGGAGCTGGCCGGTGCTGGAGCGCAGGCGGCCCCCGGGTCTGCCAATGCCGGGGTGAGGGTTCCACCCCATCCGGCCACGCTGCCAGGCGAGTCTTCGCTGGGTAAGTTCCAGGGAGGGGCCTCCCGCACCAGAAGCCAGTTAAGAGAGAGAAGAGGCCGAAGAAGGGGACCGGGCGAAGAAGAGAGGGCGAGAAGAAAGTAGGCAATGGGGCATTCGGAGAGACGGGGTAGCTGCTGGACGCGGACTCAGCCGCCCAGCAGTGGATAGGGCAGCAGGTGAAAGGCGCGGAGAGGGAACGCGTGCGGGGCGTGCTGCTCACCTATGGTGGATACCACGGTGCCCACGAAGTAGAAAGCGGGGGAAGTCTCCCAGCGCGGGCGCAGCGCGTCG